CAGAAATTGCAGCTAAAATAGAGGCTGCTTGCAAAGGGAAGGGGGAATTGATAATCACACAGCTCCTCAAATTTAGCATTAAAAGTTGTAAAACTGGAATTCTGGAGGTGAGAGGGTTTGGGGTTTTCCCCATCTGTTTTCATCTGTGTGGCTTGAAGAGGTCAGAAGGGGCATACTGCTCAAATAAAGATCACTTTTGCCTTTTGATCCATGACATAAAGATGACATAAAATGTACCCCTGCGAGTTGCCATGTAAATGAATCCAAATCAAATAATGCACAGGGAGCAACAAAGCAGCCCAGCTTGCTCTTCTCTGCAATGTGGGCATTTAATTTGTGCATAGAAATCCCAGGAACTGCAAAAATCCAGGGCTGTTTCACATGTACATCTCCACACAAACCTCCCTACCGCAACAAATCATTTATTATTTTTTTGGGGCAGTGTGCAGGGAAGGAAAAAAAGGTCGTCAAATCCGTGTTCGACCATGGCACAGATTCCTTGGCTACCAAATGCAAAGGCCGAGCAGAACAAAGAGATTTGCATTCTAAGTGATGCAAAGCAGCCGGCAGTGTTTTAATGTTGTGTTTGCTCTGTGATGTCTTCATCAGGCGCTCAAAGACAGCGGCTCTGGCAGCCGCGGGTCCCCGCGAGCCTGTCAAACTCCGTTTCCATGGTTTTCCTCCAGGCAGCACCATCGGCAGACAGCACGGAAACGGACCCCTGCAACCTGTTCTGAGCTGTGTCTCTGATGTAGGGCCCCAGAGCGGGCATCAAACTAGCAACAAGCAGCAAGAAAATAACAATTTTGCTTTTCGCAGGTGTCAGAGCAGCAAACAAAAGGCTGTTTGTAAAAGATGCAACATCCCCTTTTTGTCAGCGTTGGCAGTTTAAAGTCAGCCGGGCAGTGGTCGAATTGCGGAGGAGGTTTTGGAGGGGGTGTGCTGTGAGAGACAGAATTCAAATTGTTTCCTCTTTAATCCTTTAGCCTCACTAAATAGGGCCTTCTCATCACCAAACTAATAGCTATTAACGGCGGCCCAATTGTTCCATGTGAATCAATGAGGGCTATTTTCTTGAGACAATTGTATTCTTTTCCGGACAAAGAATCAGCCTCACTCTTCTCTCACCTTGAAATGCATCCTTTCATTTAAACAAAAAGTTCTGAATATTTCAGTATGAAGCCATATTTGAGCAGTGATGCTGCAGATTCAAAAGGTGAGAGAGATGAATCCGTGATCTTTTGCCACTGTGACTGCCTGTGTGCAGTGATGACTGGAAGCCTGTGCTAAAAGAGCAGAGGTGAGCAGAGCTGACAACCTGCCCCAGCTGGACCAGTGCATTTGTAAATACTGGTTCGGGTGCTGCACCTCGTGGTGCCTCAGTTTCACCATGTGTGAAATTTGAATAATGATTTATTTCTTCTCTTGTGAAAGACATGGAGATGGAATATTTGCCCAAACATGATATAAAGCTCATGGTTACCCATGTGGTTTTCATGACATTAGTGACTGGAGCCAATGCAAATCCCTCAAGGGACAGTTTTCCATTAAAGAAAACTGATGGATCAGATGCTGTCCAAGTTACAAGAGAATCTGCTTTTCCCTACCAATTAGCTCATTTTATCACAGCTGCCTGGGGAGGTTCTGGGAGCCACTGGTCTCCTTGGCTCCTGCTTCCTTTGCTGTGCATCTGCCAAGGCAGTGAGAAGCCAGAAGTTGGGAGCACTGGATCCCAAGCTGCCTCTTTATTTCCTGCAGAGGAAAGGATGAAGTGGGCAGCTGGTGTTACAAGGCTTATGGCTTTGGTGCAGGTCAGCTGGGAACTTACAACAATAGGGCACTCATCAGGGATTGCCACATCAGGGCTTGTTCCTTCCACATCCCTACACTGGAAGTCAGCAGCTGTAAGGATGGTGGTCCAGGATTCCTGTCTCTTCTAGGCTTTGAGGTTCCTAGCTGCTCTTTGGCTTTCTAAAAAGAAGCCACAATGTTGTATTCCAGCTCCTGATTTCATGGTTCCCACTGCCTTGGAGACTCACTTTTGTTTTCTTTAAAGGAAAAGGTCAGTGTGGTTTTGCCCCAAATTAGTGTGGAAGCCAATGGAAAAAACAGTCAAGTCTCATGCAGAACAGAGATGCATTTTTCTCTAGATCTTTCTACCCAAAGCACTCTTGTTCATGGTTTGACTGAAATTATCCCAAGTACATTCAGGAAATGCTGTTCCTGTCCTCACAAAACTCACCTCCTACACTTCTAGCTTTCACAGGCTGACTCAATACTCAAACTATAATTATATGGCTCATTATTTATTGCACAGTATCTGCATGTGGAGCAGACTGAAGTCACTTGGTGTGTTTGGAGGTGTTGATATTGCCAGGGAGCAGATACAGGGGACACAGCTCTGCATCTGAAATCCTACCCTGACCCTGTGATTAAATGAAGATCTGTAGAGAAAATGAACTTAAGATTTAGAAGGTTTCCATACAGCTTATGATGTACTGGTTATTGTAATGGTTATAATTTTATTAAGACTTTAATTGATCTGTTAAATAAAGGCAAAGCATTTTATAAATTAATAACATTTTTATTTACACCACTGATCAGCACCACAAGGGCAGGTACATCCATATCGATGGTATAGGCAAAATATTAACAGATCCTGGCTTTGTATATGAGCTTTCTGTGGCCTAGGAATAGTTAAACTCCTTTTCCACAGATAGAAACAACACATTTGTTCTCAGTGTATTACTGCACAGTGCTGAATCTGCTCTGACTTTCTCAAGAGTGCAGAGGAGAGCGAGTGTTCAGGGAAATGAGCAGTGGCTGGCATGAAGGGATGGGGCGAAGCTGCCACACTCTCACAGAGATTTCTTTTGATCAGAGGAACTGCTCGTGACTTTTGTTCGGTGTCTCATGGCAAAAAAAAATCCTCTGGTGGAAAAAAAATGTGTCTGTGTCACAGCAGAGTCAGGAGCTGGCAGTCGTAGTGCCTAGTCTATTTTTTTTAATGAATAGTTGTGTTTGCAGGGTATTGCATGCACACACAAAGTGTGGCTTTGTATTGTTTCCCAGTTTTGAAAATGTCTGTAAATGGTGTGGATCTGAGTGGTGTGGAAAGAGGCAAAGCAGAGCTGACTTCATTCAAGAATGGTTTGGAGCAATACTCCTGTGTACCAGAGGAAAGGGGACGTGTCTAGGGAATTACTGGAGAGAATTGGGAACAGTTGCTTTAAAACGAAGGCTTTGGGGAAAAAAAAAAGTCATCTTCTGTGTATAGTTCAGTTCCACTGTTATTTATGATGGGACTGAGCTGGAGGGAGGGAGGCTGCTCAGGGGGTGCTCACCTTGTATTCTCTCCACCACTCAGGAGATTTACAGAGGTATTTATTTTGGAATAAGAATACTCATTTCTGTTTTGGAATAAATGTCTCCAGAACTGGACTTGACACCTTGTGTAGACAAGATTTGAGGGCTGCAGTGATCTGTATGGAGAAACAGGCTGCAAGTGTGGGAGGGGAGAGCCTTACCTGGGAAGGCACTGCTTGCCCCAGCAGAGTAAAACTGCAGGGGGAAAAAACAATTGTTATTCTGGAATGAGATTATGCACAGTTGCCCCAGGAGCTGGGCAGGGAGAAGCACTCTACTTCTTGTGTGCTGGGAACCAGGTAGCATCCTTCAGCCCCTTCACCAAATTATCCATTATTCTGTAGGATCACCCTCCTTTGGATGTACTCCCAGTCTCATGCATTGATTTAGCACCATCTCCATCACTATTATTTTATTTTCTATTCTTAATATTCAGACTATTAGAGAAAAGGGTTTTTTATGGGAGAGAAACAGTCTGCAGTCTTACTCTGCCAGTAAGTAGGGATTTATGATGTAAAAGTCTTTCTAGTCTGTCAGATTAGTATTATTCTTTGGAGTCATGGTTAGAAAAGGTGAAAAATATAATCAGAAAGGACAAAGAAGTTAGCACAGCACAGTGTGTGTGAGGTACCCTGAGCAGAGAAAACACACTGAATAACACACTCAGGGTGAAACAGAAGTGGGAAAAAGTAATTTTATCTCAGCACTTGCTTTGGCTGACTTCTCAGTCACCAGCATATTAATGGCTCTTCCCCTAGCAACTACAGAGCTTCCAACATGCAACCATTCTTTGGTCATAAAGACAAAAAGTGGAGTTTGCCAGAACAGAGCTACCCCATTCTGGGCTGCTGACAACAGTCCCAGACTGGCCATATGCTCTGCTGCACTCACAAGTGGTAAAGCAACATTTTTGCTCCCGCTGGTGCTGGTGGTGTCCCTGTGGTTGTTATTGTTTCCATCCAGACCCTCTCCTCTTCCCTGGAGCTCCTGCCTGCTCTGTTCCAGGCTGTACCCACAGCAATGTCACAGCTCCTGGGCGCCGCGGAGAGCGAGCAGATGCAGCTCTTGTCACATCCCTGTGAGCCAGTGGCACGGCCTGTCTCACTTCATTCCTTGGAACAGCTTTTGTGGGATGGCTGTGGGGCAGCTTGGAGTGAAAGGGGCATGGGCAGGTCTGGCCAGAGCTGGGTGACTGGCCTGTGTCCAGCAGCAGGAAACAGGACCTTCTCCTTTGGGCTGGGGGGCTGAGAGTAATCGCTTTTCAGTGTGTGTGTGTAATCCACGGGATGGGGAGTGGAGAGTGAGGTGGGAAAGGACCCGTGGGTCAGGCAATTCTCAGCTCCTACCCAGCAGGAATTCAGGGCTCTGAAGAGTTTGGTAGTGGTCTCTCAGTGAGAGCCATGGGATTTGGATTTTCTCTGCATGTGTGTGTTAGCTGAGACCCCCAACACTGCCTCTGAAGGCTGAGCTGTCTTCACAGTACGGGTCATGAGCAGCTTAAACCCAGCTGCATTTTAAAGGGGTGATCGCTTTTCCTGCTCCATCTCCCAGCTAGACCTCCATCTTCCTCAAGTCCAGCCAAAATCTAATCATGGAACAGGCCATGTGGCTAAAGATCTACTGTTCTTCCACAGGGGAGCAGAGATGTTACAATGGTGGCCTCACATCTGCTGGAACTGCACCCCTGACTGGCATTATCTCCACTAACTCTGCATTAAGCATCCTGATATTTCAGTCCCCTGGGGAAATCTACTGACCTGGAGGTTCCTGATGCAGTGGACATGCTCAGGTGAGCAGCAAAGCTGAGGGTGGATCACAACACTAATTTCTACCTTTAGCCATCAACAGTGGAGGGATAAATTCATTGTCCTGATTCCTTTCCAAGGAAGACAAGAGTCGACAAAATACTAGGTTGTTTCCATTATTAAATCTATTGTCTTCCCAACCCTACTCTTATCATACTTTTCTGTGCTTTCAGAGGAGAAGATTCAGTGCTACATGCTGTCTTTAGGGTAAGGATTTTTGTGTTTATCTGCACGCTCACTGCCAAGGCAGATAAGAGACTTTATTCTCTACATTATCACTATTTTTATTCTTCTTAGGAGCCAGGCTGATTTTAGAAAGAGGGGTAAATATTTGAGCTCGTTGTGCAGACCTAAAGTGAGGCTCTGGGCCTTTTTATACTTATTTATACCCACTAAAATAATCAGCTTTAAGAGGCTATTTCAGCTTTTTGGGCTAAAACCTTCCCTTTTACTGATCTTTGCTTGCTCTGTTCATTATTCTGTGCTAGACTCTTCCCTCCCCTGATTGCATGTTATCACCTTCAATGGAACAGCTGTGTCATTGCTAAAGGGTGTTAATCTTCCCCTACCTAACACCTTATTGACAGCCAGAGTCACGGAGGCCCCCAGTCTTTTCTGACATGGGTGACTTCTCAAAACAATATTTTTTTTTTTAAGCTTCTTTTCATTTTGTACCAATCCCACCTCAGTCTAACCTGGACATGTAGCCACAGCCTGGCACAGCCCGTCCTGGCACGGAATGTTCTGCCTGTGTCAGTTCCAATGACTACAACCAGCAGAATATTCCCTAACAATGTCAAGGGACAATAAGCCCCAGATAATCAATAAGCACATGGGAGCCCAGAATAGAAGCTGCTCCGGCAGGTGGGACAGCTGGCTTGAATTTTTATGTCGTGGTGGTGAAAGGCACCACAGCTTTCAGTGAGACACGAGCAGTGCTGACAGTGACAGATCCCCTGTTACATTGTGCCACCAAACAGAATGAGACACTTCAGCAGATACAGTTCAGTTTTTCTCATAGTTTTGTAATGGTTTGGAATTAGTCTAGAATTTGATTTTTTTTTTCTGAATTCCCTTTGCCCGCCAGTTTTCTGGGCTGCCCTGCAGTTTCCAAGGACACCTTGACTTTTTGGAGATCTGGAGTGTTGCCCTGAGTCTAGAAAGATCCAGGGTAAATTTGTGTGCTGAGGTGATGGCATTAAAACAGCTCTCCCCTAGAACAGCCAGCACGGAAGTGGGTACCCTAGCTGGGGTTTCTGCCATCCCATAAATGCTGGGTCTAAGGGAATGTTTTCCAAACACAGCCTGCCATGCAATGCAGGAACAGTAGGAAACACCCTTATTTTAGACTTTACACTCCTGATTAAATATTTGTATCCTGCCTGTGTTCAAACACAGCCCTGAAGTGCTGAAGTAGGGAAGAAATTGCCATTTCCTCTAAAGTCAATGAAAGAGATTAAAACCATTGAGCTCTCTGGTGCCACCTCACAGAGGCCTTCCCATGGGTGACACAAGCAGTGGCACCAAACCAGGCCTCAAGCAGTGGCACCAAACAGGAGACATGAAACAGGCAATCACTGTCAGTTGTTCTGGTCTCCTCTTACAGCCGCTGTAGCAGAGCTGTGGCCATCAGAAGCAGGACCTGAGCAGCCTCCTGCTGATGTAACCTCAATTTCCCACCAAGCCTGAGCATTTCTGACAGCAGAAAGCATTTACCAGTGGACTGCTGAGCACATCAAGATGGATACAGTTCTCTTGTTGTTTGGATTGCGAGGTAAGTCCAGAAAAAGGAGAGAAATGGCATCATAAAACAAATGTAGCATTTATTTTATACTGCAATTTTTTCATCATACCATTCTAGTATTAAAATTCAATCATATAATTGAATATGATAATTAAATTTATTATTATTAAACTGGTCAACACTGGGGCAGCACTGACAGGAGGTTCTGTGCCCAGAACCTACTGGCCCATGTACAAGCACTCACCTGAACGTGTCATGTCCTAACTGAAGATACATCTGCTGGCCATGACTGCCAACTGACCCCCACAAATGGTGTATCCCCCTTCAGATACACCTTCTGTGGGGCGGCAGTCCCAAATATCCTGCTGCACCTCCAAAGCCAGCAGCAGATTTCTTTCGGGCATGAACTTGGCCAGTGACATTCTCAAGTTGGCTTGGCCACTGGAAGAACAAGGCCAACGCAGAGTGTCAGTAATGAAAGAAACAGAGAACCCCAGGGAAAATATGAACATCAGGTTATTTGGCCACCAGCTGATTCCTTATCAATAAGTGATGTAGCAGAAAGCAAAGCTGTATTAACACGTGCTGAGAGGCTGCTGTCACAGGGAGCAGCACCACACGTGGGTAACAACCCAGGCTTGACGCTCTGGAGCTCACAGCAAAGCAGAACATGCCAGACAACAATTGCTTTTTCTTTTTCTTTGGTTTTTCCTTTTGCTACACACAAATAACCTGCTCAGAGCTGTCTGGCCAGCACCAGGGCTTCAGTCAAGCCATCGCTCGCTGGCCGGGCACGCCTGCTCTGCACTGGTTTGATACAGCCAGAAATTACAAATGACTCTTTTTCCCATCTCATGAGAGGGAAACCCATCAAAAACTGGCTGAATATTTGATCTCACGTAAAATGAAAGACAAACGCGCTCAGCCTAGAAATAGGTTTGCTTCAGGGTGTCGGCTTTGTTCTCTCTGACCAAACTCTGTGCCCAGAGCTCCCGGCCAGGCAGCCAGGGGAACTCTGAATGTTATTTAAAGAATTGGTAAGGTCACGGTGGCCTGAGCCTCTCGGGGCTGAATTAATCTCCTTGGCACGGCAGCCCGTGCTGAGCGCTCGTCTCGCAGGTCCATTCGTGTAGAGCGATGCCATCCAGTGGCTGCTCCGATCCATCACAAAGCCAAGGGCTCCTTCCCGAGGCACATTCCAGAGCAGAAATGCTTCTGCTCCTGTTCCCAGCTCAGGCATTTCACATTAAAAGGCTGCGACAGTGGCTATCGTGATTTCTTCCAGCTTCTTTGGCTTTTTGCATGTAAAACCCAGGTATGTTTTAAGTTGCAGCCACTTGAAAGTATTTAATAGATATTGAGGGGGAAATTGTATTTTATGTATGTAGCCCCAAGTACAAAAATTTGTCATTAGGCCCAGGTTTTGGTGTGGGAAGTGATTATATGGAGTCATGTGGAAAAGTATGCTGATTTTTGAGACAAAATACCATAAATGAATGAAACTTTCTCTGTTCAAAGGCCAAGAAGTACTGAGTTTCCCTTGAGGAAAATGCCCAAGGAAGGATGATCAAGAGATAGGCTGGACAGAACCTTTCTCCATCAATGTCACACTTTAAAGAGCCCCACTATTTCCAGCTCCCCAAGGGCTGGACATTTTGGGGAGAAGAGAGCTTTAAACCTGCTCAGCTCCATCCCCGCTCCTGCCATCTCCCAGAGACTCCCACAGCAGCACAGGCCATCATTCCCTAGTGAGCAGATAAAATGTCAATGTTTTTGCCTGTTGCACTGCCCAAGTCAGCTGTAATTGCATGGTTGATGATGGATCACCCCAGGCACTGTGACCTGTGGGACATGGAGCATCCCTGGAGCTTTCCAGTGCAGGGGGTCCAAGCCTCCATTTCTCTTGGACCTTTGGCTGTTGCCAGTGATGCTCCAGCTGGGCCTGTGCCTGCTGCAGCTGCAGCTGCATTTCAGTGCTGCTGCTGTGTTTTGGTGCTGCTGCTCCGTGGTACAAATTCCAATCAGGAGCAACAAAGCCCACCGTGTGCTGCTGACAACAGGTGTCTCATTAAACATCTCTCAACCTTACAGGCATTCACATTGACAAGAACCAAACTCACACTCAATCACAGCTTAATCACAGCCAAACTCTATTAACAAGTCATACTAATTACCAACTTCTAACAATTTCTCAGGTTCAGAGGCAAAATATCCTTTCTTTATAGATGAAAACAGATTTGTGATACTCCAGCTCTGGCTGTAATTAGGTCCTTTTAGACAAAATGAAACTAAAATAAAAATCCAGACGGGTCCCTTTGTGATAGCGGTCCTGGAAGTACAGTTGTACAATGAGATGTTTTGTTTGTTTTAATTTTGTATCTGCTGTGTTGCCCACAAGGGTCCAATTAGCTTGTTACAGATGCTTGTATCAGTTTTATCCACTTGTCTTTTTTTTGGTTCTTTTTTTTTTTTTTTTAAAGAGGGGTAACTTGTAGCACAGATTGCTGGCCTGCAGGCATCCAGAGATCAACAACCATCTTCCTGTGATACCAAGCCCCCTGTGAAACAGACAGCCCTTACCCACAGCATTCATAATGCAGAGGGTAAAACAAATAGAGGGGAGGGAGGAGCTTGTGCTGGATTTTGGATTATCATGGAATAATCTCATATGTTCAGCAATGGCCTGAAGGTGGCAATTCTGCCATGGCTAAGAATAACTCTGACAATCTTTGATTGCTACACCTTGGAAATTGAAATTGAGGTTTTATTTTTAGTCACTGTGCAGCAAAACAGAAAGCTCTGAAGAGGTGGCTTTGAATTGTACATGTCACTATTTACTCCTGTCCCCTGGCATGCTCAGCACATGTGCAATTCCATGCTAACCTGATGCTTTCCTCCATTGTGTGGCTGTGTTGAGTGCCCAGGCACTTGAGAACTCACTTGTATAATCGATACACTCACAAAAGGGAACATATAAATAACGGGAAGAATCTGACTTGAACTGACACTGTGGAGATCACAGTGAGGGCTAATGCCTCGTCCTTAACTCATGCTGCTGCTGGAGAGGAAAAAAACCAGACACCACATTGAGTTAAGGACTAACATCAGATTTCCCAGCATTTTCCAAGCAGTGTGGTTCAAGGCAGAAAGCCTCCTCTGAATACCTGTGGTACAAAATCCAGCAGCTGCTTGTTTACCTGTTGTTTGGTTTAGTTGCCATTTGCTTTTCCTTCCCTTAATTTTAAAAGGGAATTAACATCTCCCCTGAAGAATCTAATTGAGTCAGCTCAGCTGGGACTCACAACTTGGGGCTGAGCACCAGCAATTATTTATTGGTACCTCTGACACAGGCAGCTTTGTCCCTTCAGCGAGGTGAGGCAGGATGAACACTGGAGCCCTGGAACTCCTGGGAGAAGCCTGCATTGTCTGGGCTAGGCTGGTGCCATGTGGAATCTCAGTTTGCCTTGCTGTGGAGGCTCTGAGGACCTGCAGGCGCCCAAAAGCAGCCGCAGGGAGGAGCAGGGTGGACCCAGCCATGGAGGAGATGGGGCAAACCCAGCCACCTTCCCTCCCCACAGGCTGCATCCTTGGCTTGCCCATGCTGTCAGAAATCAGCTGTGATCGTGGTGTGGTCAAGTGTCACAATGGCTTAATGGCCATGCAGGACAAGGCAAACTGGTCCAAAATATATTGTTACCTGGCAAAACATCCACTCCTGCTTGAATAGCAGGAAGGTGAAAAGAAAGATTTCATTGAGAGCCATAGTAAGGCAGGATGGGAGATGAAATATCCATCTGCAGTGTAATAACCATGAGAGCATTCATGCAGTGTTTCTTTGGGGAAAATGGAAGATTTTGTCTAGCCATAGTCTTGTTTCTCTTCATAAGAGGCTGTTTCAGACCAGAGCAGAGCACTCTTTCCCCTGGCTTTTGTTTGATGAAATTTGGAAAGGTTAGCAGGTGCTGGCACAGGCTCCAAGTGTCCATCCTGGATCCCAGTTCCTCCAGCATGTGTGATCAGCAATGACCCTCCCAAGTCCTTCCTCATTTTTATCTGGCATAGGAATTCCTTTCTTCTTAATGGATTTTTATTATTCCTGAAATCAAACAAACAAACAAACTAACCTAAAACCCCCCAAAGCCCAAAAGAAATAAATTAAAACAATTGAAACTTTACTATTTTGCAGAGCCATCACTCTGATCAGAAGCTGAAATCCTGCTTTGTGCTCCTCCAGTGTGGAAATCTGTCAGGTAAATAGAAATCACCTCGTAAAAGCCCTTAAACAGCTCTGGTTTATATTTTAATTGAGGAACAGAACATTTTAAGCACTTTTATTGGGTGGCGCCTGCTGAATGACAGATGTCTGCGGCGGAGTAATGCTGAGCACACTTTCATAAAACAGAGAATTCCTTGCTTAAAACATTTACAATTAAAGGCTTGATTGAATAACAATGAGTTCTGTGCATGGAGCTCATTTCTGCACTTGTTTGTGCACCTGAAGCAGGCTGTGATCATTCTGTAGGTTGGATACGAGGTGCCAGTTGCTTTGTTCAGTGACCAAACAGTGCTCACGGGCACAGCTGGAAATGTGCCTTTGATTTTCCACCAGGATAGAGATAAGGTGCACTGTGCTGCTGTGCTGCCAGACTTGCTAACACCCTTGTTTCAGCTGCTTTGGCTTTTTTTTTTTTTTTCTTTTTTCCTAAGCTACAGGTTAGTAAGTGTCCCAATTTGCCAAGAGCCAGAGATTTTAAAATGAACACTAATCCTTTGCAGCTGAGAAAGTCTTAACTAGCTTCTGCTTTACTTTTCCATCTAGCTCCTGTGACCCCTATTACTGTAATACCCGAGAACATCACCTCTGGTCGTGCACTGAGCCTCCCAGTATCTGAAGAAAGTTAGACTTGCATTAATATTATTTTCCTCTGTTCTACATGGAGAACTGAGGTAAAGCCAGGTCAAGTGATTCACCCAAAGGTGCTCTTTGAAAAGGGGTCCTAGTGCTGCACACACGTGCCCAGCCTTTGGCTGGTATTTAAAACCGAGTTCTTTTGATTGCAGAAATGGCTTCAAGCAAGCCCCAAACACCCAACAGCAAACCAGATGACACGGCACAAACCACAGGCTTTTGCTCAAAAGCCAGCTGAGAGACTGAAGTGAGAAAGGGTTCTGAGTTTCATCCCTGCTGAACTGAGGAAGATCGTGCGTGAACTGACATCGCTGCAGATCCGGGGAAGGCACGGAAAATCCGAACGGCGAGAACCTGAACTTCGGAGAAGCAGCCTCACTTTTCTCAGGAGAAAAGATGAATCCACAGAGTAGATCTTGCCACAGCAGAAGGAACATGTGTCATGGGAACAGCAGAGGCAAAATGTGTAATGGGAAAATCTTGATGGATTCAGCCCAGGACGCGAATATGCAAATTGAGACCAAATTAAATGCAATTGAGCAAGATAACACATATCCCAGCAATGAAGAAAACTCACAGCACACTCGCAAAAAAGATGGAGTTTAAATCCAAGGAGGGGGGTCTGAGAATGTCTAAGCAGTCCCCAGTGACTAAATTTTAGCAGGAATATGAAAATTTCTCCAAAAAGGAGTCAGGAAAGTGTTGCAGGAATCAAACAAGGAGTAACTGAAGTGCAAGGGCCCATTACTCAGTGGAAGAGGTGTAACCTGCCCCCCAACACAGCAAAGCTGTTATTAAATAATAATATAGTTTTTCTGCTATTAAAAAGTCATCCTGGGGCTCACTTCTGGGATACTGTATATATTTTTTCTCTTCCTGGCCTGCTCTGCCGAAAGAGGGATTTTCAAGAGTTGCTGGTTTCCATCTCCAAAGTAGCTCAATTTCAGTTCCAGGGGAAATGAAACTCTCAACTAACTTCATTTGTAAAGTCTTTGAAGATGTTGGAATGTCCTCTGGCTGTAAGGAGAGGGAGTGTGATTCAGAGCTTGGTACAGATATATAAAGGGGTTCAATATTTAATTAAACATAATCTTCCTTGTGGCATGAGTGACTGAGCTCTTTCAGGAATAAAAGTCCTTGGTTTTTATTACATTATTCTTCAATATATGAAAACACAAAACCTTCTGCAGGACTATGCTGGCCCAGCACCTGCCTTCCCTGTAGCAGCACTTACTGCCCTGCTGCTGCCAAGAGAACATTTTGGGAGCTAATAGCTTTCCACTTTTACATGAAAAATCCATCTCTCTGGGATGTTGGATGGCTCTAACACATCTCCCTGATGCCTGGAAACTATGGATGCAGTCCCCACAGCACTGGGGTGAGGAACCCACGGCGCTGCTCAGCACCACAGCCTGCCCTACTCCTCTCTTAGAACAAAACACACATTTTTCAGCTTAAAAAAACAGTATAGAGGGAGAAAAAAAAATCATGTTTTTGGGTAGTTATTCTCTACAGAGAACAGGTGCCCTGATCCTGCACCCACGGCTGAGCTCAGCATGAGCAGAGTTATGCTGGAAGCGTGTGCTGGCAGAGGCTCTGAGGATCTGGCTTTGCAAAGGGTCAAGACAATCTCACTTAGGGCACAACTCTGTTAGTTTTGTTCTGGTTTTCTTTCTTTTTTTTTATATAACAGGAAAGGGACAGCATTAGCTCTTTTCTTTTCTGGAAGTGATATTCTGCTCTGTGTGAGAAATGAGAGCAAGTCAGTTTAAAGGGAAAGGGTGCCATGCATCAGGCACAAGCCTAAGTAATGCCAAGGTCTGCAGCTGGCTGCCCCACTTTTGTTTTTACATATGTGAAATGACTTCTAGAAGCACAGAGTTTTATTTCACCAACTTCTGCCTTCCACTGTTAACCATTCATAGCTGCCACCTACTCAACAAAAATAATGAAAAGAAATAATCTTTTTAGTAGAGAAAAGGTAATTACTAAGCAGGATGTATACTCCTCCTAAAAGGTGCTGGCGTTTTCTGATGATAAATCCAGTCCCCACAAGCCCCTGAGTCGGTGGGATGTGCTCTTTCAGCCTTGAGGTGGGCTAGCAGGTACCCTTTGCATCCTGACACGATGGCTTTGGCTGGATCATTCTCATTCCTGGGAAATGCCCCGCTGAGAATGCTGAGGGTTTTCAAGGAGAGGCAGCCAGGGCTGCAGACAAAGCACAGCAGTGCCGAAGTGAATCCTCCCAGGGATGCTGGGATGTGAAGCACTCCTGGGTTCCTTCCACAATGACAACAGGAGTTCTGGTGCTGTGCTCCTCAGGCTTGAGACGTCTACCAGCTACACCCTTCCTCCCCGCCTGCAATTAGCACTTGCAGCGTTGCAAAGGGAGATGAGATTCGCTCTCGCCGTCCTCCTTCAGAGCTCGCTCACACCTTCCCCACCGGGTGGGAACATGTGCTGCGGGTTAGGAGATGTTCTCATAGTGGAATTGCATTCACAGCAATCCTACCCCCCGCCTACTGTTTGCTTCTGGCTATCAGGCTCTGCTGCTCGTCGTGGTGGACGGGCATGTGAGCACCAGAGCTCAGACACAGCTCTGGGCTCAGCACAGCCTCAAATCTCCAGGACTCTCTTCATTCCCCCCAGAACTGTGCGTGCACAAATTGGGCCGTTTGTTTCATCCAGGGTAACTGGAGCTGGGTAAGGGCCGGCAATTTTGGAAGAGTGGGGTGAGGAGAGAAGTGGGAGTGTGTGACCATTGACCTTAATTAGAGGAGATAAAAATGTTGAAATGTGATTCCTAAGAAAACCAAGGAAGGCCTCTATTGTCGAGTGTTTCCACATGGATGCCACTGAGAAGAGGTCAAGTGCTTTCTCTATACTTTAAGTAAACAGCAGATTGTGAGTTCACAGTCTGGACTGGATTTGAGCAGCCTCTGTGTTCTGCAGGATCATAATTGAGTCCTATGTACTTAAGGTTTGGTATCCACTGACATTATTACTTGACAGTGCCAGGAAATACAGCAGCAATTAAAAGTTATAAAGTTTGCAAGTAAAGCTGCCCCATGTCACAGATGGCTCACCCTGTGCTAGAATTATCTTGGGCTCCTGCTCCCAAGGAGCAGCAAGAAGGGCCTTTTGTAAAAAAGAGTCTGTGCTGTTGGCTCTCTGTGATAAAGACATGCCTCCTCACATCATCATTGTCACATAAAAAATGCACAAAGCCTGCAAAATTAAATCTGCTAAATGAGCAGTGGGTTATATGTCAGGAACAGAGTGCTCCGAATCAGGCAGTTTATTTACATGCTACTGGGAAGCACATCAAGCCAAGTTAAAATGTTATGCATAAAATTCTTCTGTTCATCTTTGCAGTTATCCAGACTGAAGGTTAAGAAGACTGAATGTGGTGGGCTTGTCCCAAAATTAGCTCTATTTCCTTACCTGGAGGTGGGATGACACGGAAATCAGAAATGCCAGCTGTATTTCACATCTGCAGGTTCAGCTCTACCATCACTGACAGCAGTTGTGGTGTCGCCAGGGAGCAGCAGCTTCCATCTCAGGTGAAAACCTTCCATACCCTGGAGACTCCTTGCCCATATTAAAGGTCAGACAGGGAAACTGAGTCAAAGAGCATTGATCCAAGTCCCCAGAAACTGGTGGCAGACCATCCAGAGCCCCAGCAGATCTAATGACTTCTCCAGCTATTACAAGCAGGAAGAAAGGGCAGGAGTGCTCTTAGGGGCGTAATTGAAAACAGATGAATCACTGGAAATCTTCCTGTCCATTCAGTGGGCTTCACATGATGATTTCTAATAGTCAGGACCCAAATTATTTAGGGTGCACTTCTGGGAGGAGGGAATGAGGCATGTAACTTAGGAACCTCACTCCCGGAAAGTCCTTTTGGAAGTGAAGCTGCAAAGCTTTATATACACCTGAAGCAAAAAGAGAAAAAAGTCTTTTTTTTCCCTTGTCTGCATCTGCCTGTGAAAAGGAAAAAGAAAAGACAGCCCATTTGTGGATGTTTTCTTGCTGCAACTCTGAATTGGAAATATCTGTCCTTGATTAAAGTGGGGAATGCAATTGCACAAGTCATTAATTATTACTGATAAACCGAAGTAGTGATGGAGCCAAATAAAAATCTCCTGCCACTACAATGGAATTCTGGAAAAAAAAAGACAGACCTGGGTGCCTGCATCCTATTTTCATTTCCTGGTTTTGGGGGGGATATGCATCCCTGAACTGCTGGGTGTCCAGCCCTGCATGTCCTCGGAGCACAGGACGGGTCCAGAGAGCTGAACTTTATCTCCACAGATGGCAAAAAGCAGCAGCTCACGGTGCCTGCCACACGTGACCAGTCCCAATTATGGCTCCCTCCACATGACATCAGTATGCAGTGGAGGATCTCACTTTTTTTTTCGCCAGAGGCAAATGAATACATTATCCAGCAGCGAGGCGTGGGGCAGGCGGATGCGTAACTCTGGGGTGATTTGGATTCCGTGCTCGCGTGGGGGTGTGAGCCAACCTCAGAAGTCATTTTCACTGATGCTGACACATAAGGCTTCCCTCAGAGACCTGTCTATCAAACTGCAACATGCTATGCAGAAAAATTAGATTACTCATGCTACAATAAAGAAGGAGAAGATGACAATGATGGGGAAAAAAATATACAAAAAAAGGGCTTCAGAATATAACAGCTATTTGTTAAATGAATAAAAATCTGGCAAATGGCAAAGTATCCTAGAGACTTTTTAAAATAATTTTTTGGAAATTTTTTTTACCTCTTGCAACCCATTCCAAGGAGAGCTAGTTGGAAAGACCTATTAATTCAGATGGTGCCTCTGGAAAAACCACCACTTTATCATGATTGTCACATTACTGTACTTGTGAAATATAATTTTAAATAGTCGTTATGATTCTGCTGCTGGTTTTGCTGCAGTCAGCAGTAGGATTTCCTTTGGCTTTGGTAAAAGCAGGATCAGGCCCCCTTGTGCTTGAGCTCTCTCTCTATGAATTGCAAATGGGTTGTTCACGTGTCAGCTCAGCAACCAGGCAAAGTTCACTGTGCTCAGTTCAAAGCAGAAAGATGAAGCTCAGGGCATTTCCTTCACAGTATTTGCCGAGTTCCTCAGGTCTACAAACATGTTAAAGTGGTTTAATGCAGAATCTGTAAAACAAACATTATGCAGCTATGTTTGAACCCTTGTCCAATAAAATTCATTTTTTTTCGGAAGAAAATACAAAGTAGAAAAACACAGTAAAGAAAAGAAAAGGCTATGGGAAGCTTAGTAAAATCCTATAAATCAGGATGCTGGGCAGCTTCAGGAAGGGTGTTTTAAAATAAATCTGCAGAAGAACACACAAACAGAGAGAGACACACAGTCCATAGCTGGAAATGGATCTGGACCAGTGCCGAGGTTAGAACATCCCAGACAGCACTGCAGGACTGGTTTTACAATATCAGATAATGGAAAGGTTTGGCCAAATGCTGATTTTTCTTCTCTAGTAATAACAAACCCGTGCTGGGGCTTCTGCAGTATTTTCTCCTTGAGTTATTCCTCAGGAATGCTATTTGGGGAAGTTAATTGAGAGTTTTAACTCCCCTTGCCCTGAACAACATTATGCCCTGAACAACAGCTGCAAATTCTGTTTTACCTATTGTTACCCTTTTTAAAGGAGCCAGTTTTTTTGTGTGTTGGTTTGACTTGTGGAGTTGCTCCAGACATGGGATTTACTTTCTTGTCTTCAGTGTCTCTTCCAAATATTTCTTCCAAATATTTCTTCCCAGAGATGAGTTTTGGTTCCCATCCAAGCCTGAAGAGGAGAACCTTAGGCTCTCCTGTGGCCCTGCCCTTGCATGGCTAACTGGAGCTCATGGCTTGGTGACCAGGGCAAAGAAGAGATGCAGGATTGCCTTTTCCTGCTCCTCTTCCAACAGTGTGAACTGATCAGCAGATCAACCCCATTCCACCCTTCACCCTGCTGGGGAGTTTTTTGGGGCTTTGGCTTCTTGATACAGACAGGCAATTTCAACATGACCACACAGAGGGG